AGAGAGAAGGCAAAGAGAGAGAGAGAAGGTAATAAAGAGAGAGAGAGAGAAGGCAATAGAGAGAGAGAGAGAGAAGGCAAAGAGAGAGAGAGAGAGAGAGAGAGAGAGAAGGCAAAGAGAGAGGAAGAGAGAAGATAAGAGAGAGGAAGAGAGAAGGCAAAGAGAGAGGAAGAGAGAAGATAAGAGAGAGGAAGAGAGAAGATAAGAGAGAGAGAGAGAGAGAGAGAGAGAGAGAGAGAGAGAGAGAGAGAGAGAGAGAGAGAGAGAGAGAGAGAGAGAGAAGGCAAAGAGAGAGAGAGAGAGAGAGAGAGAGAGAGAGAGAGAGAGAGAGAGAGAGAGAGAGAGAGAGAGAGAGAGAGAGAGAGAGAGAGAGAGAGAAGGCAAAGAGAGAGGAAGAGAGAGGATAAAGAGAGAGAGAGAGAGAGAGATCTTACATGAATTCAAAGCTGAGAAGGGAGACAGCAAGTGAGAGAGAAAAAAAAATCTATAAAACTCATACTTCTCAACTATTACTAAGAGAAACTATATCTAGGATATAGATTCATTTTAATACAAGAAACTGGAGACTCACCATTCTTCCCCAATCCGATAGACATAGATAATATTATCAGTCTGACCTACAGCTATCTTGGTACTATCTGGAGAGAAAGCTATGGCCTTAACCAGGTAGCTTTTCTTACCATACTGTAAAACAAAGGACAATGAATTAAGAAATAATTGAAACACTCCCTCCCCCACAAAATTATACATGATTCCTAAGAGAAATTGTAATTAAGCAAAATCTTATTATATTTTATGAATCAACTCACAGTGGCTTCTGAAGTGGACATTTTACATTTCATACTGTTGGCATAGTATGAAATTATTTAATTCCATTTGTAATTTCTTAATACTCTTAATTTGCAAATCCATATAAAATAAAGTCTCCTTGGCAAATGCAAAGCCTCCAAGCCACTTGATGGACTCTAGGCGGTAAGCTGTAGATATTCATTAAGACTGAAGGTAGTGAATAGAGAGAGTGAGTATGAAGACATTATTTTCATAGGGAGTCTGTGAGAACTCTGTTGCACTACACTACTTAAGCTGTAAGGTTCAGTACTCTTGCCCATTTAGCTGGCTGTTCAAGATGGTAGTATCCCTTATGCTCTCATAGGCATAATTTGAACAAGGCCATGAGCGTGAACCAATATGTCCATTCTAGTATGATGTGGCTAGAGGATTAAGTCCATATAGCTTCCATACTTTCAGTGCTCCAGCAAAGGTCAACAAACAATCACCACATATATTCTGGCAATATAAGATTCTAGAATGATTCCTCATTTAATAATAAATTACATATTTGCCAGATAATACATAATGGGGTTTGGCAGGTTTTACAGGAATAAAAATAGGTACAAAAGCCAGTAGTGAACATGTGTATGCATTTGTACTGGTAAGATTTACCACAAATTTAAGACAATAACAATAAACAAAAACTATTACAAGACTAACCTTGGAATCTGCAGGTTTAGTAGAGAATTTGTCCTTCCTTTCCCCAGTCTCATCAAACAGCAGAACAATCCTTTCTGCAGTTGATACAGCCAACTTCACATTGTTAGGTGACCAAGCCAATGCTGTGATTTTTGCTGCACCATCCTGGAAAAATGAAAGACAAAAAGATAGCTAAAAAGAAGTTGGCAAAGAATTTCCAAGGTAACGAATCATCAGGGTGTTATGGATTATAATACAAATGCAAATGCGGTGAAACATTAATTGCTTGGTCTTCAGACTTGGCTAGTTCTCTTTAGAACCCTGCCTCTCATCTATGAATATATGAAAACTTCATTCCTACATGCTATGCTTACAGAATGGCTGAGTTTATGATAAAGAACAAAATCAGGGACTACTGCATGCAATTTTGAATTTTTTAAACAGCTCACTGTGAAACTTTTTCAGCATGATATAAAACCTCTGGCTATTGTCAATTTTTTTTATATTCTGTTTAAAAAAATATAATGTAATTAATATAGTTATAATAATTCATCATTATTTAGAATCACAAGACATTGGACTGTTATGATACCTTTTATTTATGTCTGCATTAACCGTTCAATGACGGTGCTAGAAATTTCTGTCACTTCCCGCTTGACTCCTTTTAGAGAGTCATGATGATTTGTTTTTTCGTGATGGCTATAAGTGGTTAATTTAGATTTTTTTTTTTTACTCATATGCTCTACTATTTAAATTATACTACTTGATAAAAGTTACTATATGGTTATCCTCACTGATGTATATGAAAGCTACACATCTACTTAAGTGTTATTACTTTTTTTTTTTTTTTTTTTTTTTTGGGGGGGGGGGGGGGGTGATGAGAAATCAAGGATCCCATGAAGAGGTCAATGGTCTAAAAAGTTTTGGGACTCATGATAATATATTGAGAGAATAACTTCTCACACTCAACTATGCAAACTATCCAGGTGAACAAAAAGATACAAGAAGACAATTAGCCTGGATTCCGAAACAAGTATGTTCCACACAAGTTATTCTAAAACCACTTAAATGCTGGCTATATGGAAGGAACATTAGAATCACTGCAACATTCCACTACAAGGCAAAAGTGCTTTATAAAGAAGGAAATGAAAACATAAACATAACATAAAGAACTTTGTAAAGCAGCTTGGCAAGCTATTCTATGTGACATCATCAATGATGCTGACCCAAACAAGGAAAGAAGTTTGAAAATTGCATGAACAAACAAGCCATGTCAGATAGTTCTTTTTCTCAAGTGGCAGTAGAAGGGATCCTCTCTCCTGGCCTCTCTATTCTGGTATCTCTGTAAATGGCAACTGTCGCTCATGAGGCTTTTCTCTAACTCTTAAGTGAGCTCCATCTATGAGGAAAAAATATATGGAAGTTTTAGGAACCTTACCTTCCTATAACCCTACCATCAGGTGTTATATTGAGGTTTCATATCAATCTCCAGAGTGTTGACTGACAGCTTCCACTCTAACAGGAACACACTGTCTAGCAATTACTACAAGCTATTTGATAAAGGGATAACCCTTAATGCCCCTATTAATGGTAGAAAGTCTTCTTTACTGGCTATGGTAAGCCTAGAATATGTTAGGGAGAGAAAGTCTCCCCGTCAAGATCCCCTTTGGCTAAAAAATTAAACAGGAGAATAACAGGCCCATGGCTCTCCCAGGCCATTCATGACTGACACAAAATCAGCCTTTCATCCATTCAACTCGGCTCTCACACCTTAGGAAGTGGATAGATGAATGGGGTTAAAGAAGAGAAGGAAAAAAAGTGGAAAGGGAAAAGATTGTGGAAAATTAGCTAAGTCGAGGGCTGAGGCCCAAAACAGGGGTGATCCCCAGTCTCCATTTTCTAAGCCCTCCATCGTAACAATGGCATGGTATGTAGGGGGTAGGCATGACCAATCATGACGATAGTGGTTTTGATGAATTCCTCTCTCTCTATCACCTATATACATATAGGAATTATGCCATGGAACCCCCCCCCAATACCTACAATCTTGGCTCCCATAACAATTGGAGGGAATAAAAGGTACCAGAGAAACTGCAAGGCAAAATATGAATAAGATACACAGAATTGGTTAATGTATTGGTCAGATGCAGGAGGCTGTGCCTACTGATCCCTAACATCTGCCCTGGATAACAATGAATCCTCCATGTAAGTATAGCAGGACAGAGTGTAGGGCAGTCTTGACCTCGGGTGCTCCTAATTGCATTGTGATGGTTAATGGTTAATGGTTAAAAGCAAAAATAAATGTGCTAGACATCTAAGGTCATGTAGCACTATAGTAAATGTTAGTAAAGGGTGGTTAAGTTAGTGATTAGTTAACAAAGCTGGGCAAAGGAATTGGTGAGTGAATGGGTTAAGGTCGGGTGAGGTAATGTAAAGGGGTTAGATTAAGTGAGGGATATTTATGTGCTTGAGAGGAAAACAGGTTGTCGAAGGGAGGATAGGTGGGGGGGGGGGGGGGAAGCAGAGCTACAGGCTGCTTCAAAACGTGTGCATGATAATAGAATGTGTGAGACTGAAAGAGGAACATTACATAAAGAGCATAGGAGTGGATCGGATTGCGACATCAGATAGGGGTGTGTTAGACGGGTGTGGAAAGGGATGCTTGTGATATAAGGGATTCATGTGTGTATCCAGGAGGGAGTGGAAGGGATAGAGGGGATGGTGGGAGGGTTAATGTGGGTGGGGTTGGAGTTGGGGGGGATGGGTTGTGTTGGGAGGGGGTAGGAGGATAGGGTGTAGGGGGGATATCGTTAGGAGGAGGATGGATATCGGCAGTCACTTGGTGTGTGGAGGAAGCAGGAGTTGTAGGATTTGAAGGTTGATGGGGGTTAGTTTTCATTAAGAAGTCTTGGATATTTTCAAGAGTTTCTTCAATGGAGTTGGTTGGGGAGTTTTGTGGGATAAAGGATTTCTTGTGAGGGGGGGAAGAGAACGCTGGTGTCTCAAGAGTAGGGGCAAAGGAAGGTGGAGGTGATTGTGTGGTAGGGGAAGAGGGGGTGGAACGTTTGTTCTGTCTGTTACGGGGAGTGCGAGGAGGGAGAGGGGAAGGTGTTGGGGTTGTAGTGGTGATTGGAGTATCTGTATTAGAGATTGGAGTTTCTGGATTTAGGATGGCAAAAGAGTTTGACTGGGGAAGGTAGGAGGTAGAAGTGGGGGGGTTAGATGTAGGAGGGGTGGGTTTAGGAGAAGTGTTAGAATGAGCAGTATTACTGGAGTAAGGAGTAAGAGAGAATCCACGTCGACGTGCTATCCTGTCTGGCTTCACGCAGTGTGAGTCCGAAGTTTGAATCTGAGAGTTGCTACCTCAGATTCAAATTTGTAGGTGGGACAGCCCCTATAAAATACATTATGGGGGCCGCCACAGTTGGCACATGTGCGTGATTGTGCAGAGCAGTTAGATCGGGTATGGCCAGGTTGGGCACATAATGGGCATCTGGCTGTGGAACGGCAGTGTTTGGCTGGGTGTCCTAGACGCCAACAATTTTGGCACTGACGTGGAGGAGGTTGGTATGGACGAACAGGGAGGGATTCTCCTCCTATGTAGACGTTAAAGGGAAGGTCATGTCTACGGAAGGTAATTTTGGCTATGTTAGTGGGTTTCTTTCGATGACCTCTGGGGGGGATGGAGTAGCATTGTACTGATGTTGCATCGTAGTCTGTGAGACAGGCAAGTAGATCTTCTCCACAATCTGACCAATCTTTGTCATAGATTGGGCAATTTGCTGGTGAGATTGAGACTGTTCCGGTGCAAGTATTGAGGGTTGGATGGGGTTCTGCTAGGATGGGGTTACCATATTGGTCAGTTAGTTTTGTTAATGCTATGGCTTGGTTTTCGGATGTTACTGTTACAAGACGGGAGCGGTCGGGTCGGCTACGGAAAGAGACTTTACCTACTTGTTTTTGGAGGCATTGTTGGAAGAGAAGGGTGTTGTCAGAGTAGGGAGCTGTGGGAGGGATCACGAAAAATCGGTCCCATTTGGCTGCACTGAAGAGAGTATTCAAGATTGTTTTAGAGATAGGGGTGGTAGAAGGGCGAGGGCGTGACGAAGATGGAGTAGTGTTGATGGAGGTAGTGTTATGGAGAGGTGGGCTATAAGGCTGTAAGGTATTAATAAGGGAGGATGGGGTGGTTGATGTTGGAGGTTGTGGGGGATAGAGGTGTTGAAGTTGGGCATGCTGGGAGAGTGGAAATGTTCCTTGAGGGTTGATTGTTGGCTACTGTACTAGTAGGCATTGGTGAAGGGGCAGTTATTGCAGTGTTCGGAGCCGTGGTCAAAGGAGAGCCTGGGGTCGGGGAATCGGGTGGGTTTACTTCTTTGGGGCTATTTGATAAAGGGGCAAGCCTCATTGCCCCTAACAGTGGGGATATATTTTCATTACTGGCCATGGTAAGCCTGGTTATGTTGGGGATAAAAACAGTCCACCCCTCAGGGTCCCCTTGAGGGGTAAGGGCTAGATACTAAATCAGGGGAATACCGTGCCCATGGCTCCCTCAGGCCGTTCAGGACTGGCACAAAGTCAGCCTTTCATCCTTTCAGCACGGCTCTCACACCTTAGGAGGTGGATAGCAGAAGGGTTTGGTGAAGGGACAGAAACAAAAGTGGGAAGGGAAAAAAAGACCATGCATAATTAGTTGAGTCGAGGGCTGAGTCCCAAGGTTGGGGAGTTCCCCATCATTGGGTCCCAGTCTCCGCCTCCTAAGCCCCCCCACGACAACAACGGGCAAGGGATTGGGGGGGAATTGCATTGTGATTAAACTATGACCATATATTATACACCTATATATCCCCCTTGGCGGGATCTATTGCCCCCAACCCCTGCTCATACCTAAAAATAATACCCCTGGTATGTACAGCAGGAAGGAACAGTAGCAAATCACACAGGTATAGTAATGTACCTTGATTAGCAGCATACTAACCTATGATATATTCAACTGCATATACAGACCAGAATGTGGGGTACTCCAGATCATTGCCTTCCATCAATCAGGTTAGTAAATTGTCCTAGGTTGTACCTTGCTGTGTTCTCCCTATTGCATGTTAGTTGTATGCTCTATTCTAATGTGAATAGGTAGAAGAGTCTGTTTCTTCCTGGGCAGGGATTGGGGGATGGCAGCCTTCCAATGGGTGAATCACTGGGGGCACAACTCCAATTGAAACAAAATAGTGACTTTTTCTCTGTATATCATTTTCATTGTGATGTACTTGGTGCATATCATATATATATCTTACCTCTACAAAATCCTTGTTACCTTCCATATCCCCTCTGCTATCGGGTCCGAGTTTGGGGGGATTTCCAAGGTAAATGTCCTACATATATGGGTAGTAGAGGGGGAGAGGAATCCATCAATACTACTAGAGTCATGATTGGTTGTGCAAGTGTTCTGCATATTAACCCCTAATTGGTATGTGGTATGAAGTACATCTCGTCTTTAATGGACAGAACAACAAAATAAACATATTTACATCTGCGGTATTTCCTCTGCAAGTTGATCATCAAAAAATTGTGGAACCTGTTAAACTTTGGTACACAATTACATAATAACCATATTAATCCTTAGATGATGGTATTAGAAATCCCGCGGTGTCATAGACGCTGGAGATTTCTGGCTACCATCCTGCCACTGGGAGCAGGAATCCGTTATATATTGTGGAACTTCCCATTCAATGCACTCTAGTGCATAGCCAGGCAGAGACAGGTTAAGACAAGGAAATTTATTGCCACTAATAAAAGAAGGGAAAACTACAGTGCTACATAATTTAATGTTAGGCAAAGAATAAAATCAAAATGAAGAAAATGGTGCATGACAAAAGCCATGCAGTAAGTCCACAGTAATTGGGTAGGGGTCTGGGAGCAGAGCCCTGATAGGGAGACACATAGGGAGTTAGGATTTGGGGGTGAAGACAGCAAACCCCCAGGTTAGGATTGTTACTGGTTCATACACCCATATCTGTGGATCCCCAGGAGTGA